TAGGTGACCAGAGCAAGGACTCAAACCCAGTTTTCTGGATGTATACAATTATATACATCTAACTCAACAGCACTTAACAACAACAAAATACATGTATGCATATACTATGACTATACATATTATTTGAACCATACATGTAGAAAAATAACAGAGACTAACTTGTGTTATTAAATAAAACATTGTGAGACTTCATAATCAGGAGAAATGAGTACAGGGTCACATAGGAAATTAGAAAGTAAAACCAGAATTTGTGGAAGAAGTAAACGAAAGGAGATCTGGATTCCATTTCAACTAATTGTAAATTTGGCTAAATTACAGGAGTATTTTTGCTTCAGTTTCCTCACCTCAGAGTGGAACTAATAAGTTGTTGGAGAAAGATAATGTGTGTAAAGTGTCTGAAACAATGCTTAACACTTAGTAGGAGCTTGCTAAATACTAGTTCTTTTCCTTTCTTGTTTTCTATCCTTTTATATGCTTGTGGAGATTAACCTCAAAAACATTTGTACTCTTTTTGGGAAGCGACTTCTTATAGTAAACAGACTACTATTTTTAAGAGCCTTCCTTTGAGTGGCATCTCTTTTAGAGAATTGTTAATAAAAACTGACTCTATAAACCCTTCCAGAACCATGAAATGTTGTGTATTAAAAATAGAGCACTTATTATTAGAAGTAAACTCAGCCAAAAAGAGCTATTTTTTAAGAGGAAGAGCCAAACACACTGGAATATGATCACAGAATCTTAGCTGAAGCCTATAGTTAAGCCAATAGTTGGGGTTTAACGAGAGAACAATCATTGGTAGAATCTTTAATTAACTCACAGAGTTTATATCAATTCCCTCATAAATACATGATGCATTTCTAAATGTTATGTGAAATACAGAGATACATATGCTATTCTTGTTTTCAAGGAGTTTATAATGTTACAAGTGCATCAGTATCCTAAGAGAGAGTTTATAATGTTACAAGTGCATAGTAAGACACCATGAGAGGAACTAAGAAAGTGTTCTGATTTGCAAAAGAAGTCATTTGTTCCTGGAATTTACAGGGAAGGGTTACCCAGGATGTTTCATTAAAGTTGGTTCTTAAAAGATAGGAGAAAGTTGCTGAAGTGGAAGGAAACTTTGAGCAGAGATGTGCAGGGAGAAAATTATTTGGCACATTTTGCAAACTACCAAAATCTATAGTTGGGTCCTAGGATGGATATAAGGCTTCGTGGGCTATAAGACTGAAGCCTTACATCCCATGTTGCCAGATATGTCACGACTGTCTGGCCAAGATGTCTGAGATGGATGGAATCTGTTGAGGACTCCTTTTGGGAAATTGCATATTTTGGTGGTTTAGAGGAAGTGACTTCATTTTAATCCTTCAATCTCAAACATTTAGTGAATATCCACCATGTAGCATTCCAGTAAGGCATAGTCCCTGCCTTGGGCTGCTTAAAATTTAGTAAAGTGAAATAGACATATAAACAAAATCCTTTGAGTAAATTGTTACAAGTTCTAAATAGAATTCTGTCAAGGATTCAAAGGAGAACAAAATTTAGTGGAGCACAAAATTACTGTTGCTAATAATAAAACTCAAGTCTACTAGTTAAATCAATAATACAAGGCAAGTAATTTTTTCTTTCATTAAAGCCTTATGGCATTCACATCATTATTTGTGGGTTAATAAATTCTGACATTTATGCTGCTGTAATTACATGCCCCATTTTGGTTTCCTGGCACAGTATTGTCCTTGAGACATAGCCATGTTCTCTTTGACCACCTGGTGAACTCAGCTCTACAAAGTCTTAATGTGGGGTCTCACCATAGACCCCTCAGCAGCTCCAAGGCTTTGCTGTCAGCTGGGAACCAGTTGGAACTTTTAGATCTTCTGGGCTGGTGAATAATTCTCAGGGATTTTCAGAGTCCTCACACGTCTGGACCTGCCACCTCCACTGCACTGTACTATCTTGGATACTGATCACACCCAATAGAACACAGGTTCCATTTACTCTTTTTTTTTTTTTTTTGTGTGTAAGTTTTA